TTTTCCAGTATCTGAGGTCAAAGCCAGAACAAGTGACAAATATCAAAATCATTTCATTATGACAAGGTGTATACAGTCTGGCATAGCCATCCATAGGGCAATGGAAGTTTATTCCAAAGAAAAAGCTTCTGGCACACTGGGAACAATTCCAGTTTCCATCTGCTTCCTAATGTGATTAGTGACAGCACTCTAGCTTTCTCTCAGAGCGGTCTCAGGTTAGACAGTAAGTTAAACAGCCATTGGTGAATAGTAAAACCAAATACTGGTGGTTCAATTTGTAATCTTGCAACTCATCAGAATGAGATCTGAAGATCTCAGTTCCACGCCAGCCTGAGTAGGAAAGTCCATGAGATTCTTCTCCCCAGTTAACTATCAAAAAGCCAGAAGTAGAGCACTGTGGTTCAAGTGGTAGAGTAACCCTTCAGTGAAAAAGGTCAGGGACAGTGCTGAGACCCTGAAGGACTGCAGTAAATAAATAAATACATAAATAAATAATAAGTTAAACCAGGCTCTTGTGTCTCATACCTGTAATCCTAGCTACTTTGGAGGCAGAGATCCAAGGATTGCAGTTTGAAGCCAGCCAAGGCAAGAAAGTATAAAGTCTGTGAGACTCCAAATAACCAAAAAGAATCCAAAAAAGCCAGAAGTGGCTATGGCTCAAAAGTGGTAAAGTATTAGCCTGGACATCCCATGCCCTAAGTTCAAGCCCCAGGACAGGTATAAAAATAAGTAAATAAAAGCTAAAAGTAGAAACATAGAGCACCAGCCTTGTGGTGGAATTCAGAGCCAAGGCTCCGAGTTCAAGCTCCAGGATAAAAACAAAACTAAGTAGCAATAAAAGATAATAATAAAATAAATATAAATGTAAAACAATAAATAAATTTCAATTCTTTGACCAAAATTTAGAGAAAAAGTGTTAGTAGAGGTACAAAAATCCAAGAATGTTCTTTCATGTATCTGCTCTGCTTGTGTCCTAAGTTAAAAGATAAAATTAGCTAGAATTTCAAGATGGCATTGAGCATTAAGCCAAGCCAGGGCCCTTCTGAGCTCAAAGCCCTGCGCTCCTATACAGGATGCACACCCTTGACAGATCCTGAGTCTGTCCTTTCTCTGTCCACCCAAATAGGTCTGTGATCTTAGCATGCTGTATCACCAGACTACAAACAGGAAACAGGCCGCAACCTTCTATCGTCCAGACTTTGGACATTAAATTGTGGATAGTCAACCTATAAAATCATCTCTTGAGAGGAAATGTTTTAAAATTTTTATACCTCAAGTAAAACAAGAAGCAAATTAGGTCACTCTTTATCATCTTCTCGATGTTCTAAAAATAATTTATCTCAATGACATACCCTACCCATGATCTCAGATGAAAACACTAAATAGATGAATTAAAGTTCAATGCACTAGAAAGTCTTTGAAATCTCGATTCCTGATTTTAGTCAAGTTTCTGATTTCAAAGCAGGTACCATATGCTTAATTTGAAACTTTTTGTTCTGCAAATCCACATGTGAGGTAGAAAAGCTAAAGAAACCTAAGATCAACTGGGGGAAAAAAGGAAATTCAATTTTAAGGATAACTGGGGTACTATCTTTTTAAAATGGAGAAGACAGAGGATGAATCGATTCATCAATTTATTCCTTCATTTAACAAGTGTTTATCAATCACTTACAATGTCACAAACACTACACAAAATTCTAGGAAAACCCAGGCAAGCAAGACACAGCCTGGGCCTCAAAGACTTATGCTCTAGTACAACAAAACAGAGGGAAATAAATCAACTACTTTAGCTGCCAGAAGTAAACATGGTATAGAATTAGGTACAAAGCACCATGGGAGAAAGAGCAGCTGAGTCTTGAAAAACCAGTAGGGATCCACCAGATATAGTAAGCAAGCCCCTCTCAAGAAGTAAAAGGGAAGCTCAGTAAGGTAGTCCAAGCTTGTAATCCAAGCACTGGAAAGCTGAGAAAGGAGGATGGTCAGTTCAAGGTCAGTCTGCATGCACAATGGGACTCTGATAAATGTAAAAAGGCAGGGGCTAGAAAGGTGGCTCAGTGGTAGAGTGCTTGCCTTGCATGCATTAGGCCCTGGGTTTGATTCCTCAGCACCACATAAACAAAAAGAAAAAGCCAAAAGTGACACTAGAGCTCACGTGGTAGAGTGCTAGCCTCGAGCTGAAGAGCTGAGGGGCGGCGCCCAGGCCCAGAGTTCAAGCCCCACGACCAACAAAAAGAAAAGAAAAAGGCAGAAGCCTGAGACAAACATAGCCTACCATGGGAAGAGCAAACTACTCTAAGTAAAAACAGCTATCTTAAAGCACAAAGCTTTTCTCAAACAAGTAAGGTGTTAGGTAGAATGACGCTGTGCAAAGCAGATAGAGGAAATTGGTGATGCTATGGACTTTGGGGGGAGAGAGGAGGAATAGAACAAAATGTTCTTTTTAGAATTAAGAACAGAGCACTCTAAATTTTAAGATATGAAGATATCATCCACTGTGGTCCTATGCTCTTTGATTTTTGGTGCCAATCCTGGGGCTTGAACTCGTGTCCAACTGTCCCTAAATATTTTTTCTCAAGACTGCCACTCTCCTGCTTGAACCACAGCTCCGCTGCCTGCTCTTTGGTAGTAAATTGGAGATAAGAGGCTCACAAACTTTCCTGCCTGGGCTTCTTTGAATTGCAATCCTCAGATCGCAGCTTCCTGAGCAGTTTACAGGCATGACCTATCCACACCCAGCTTCCTGTGTTCTTTTAATCAAGAGAAATAATACCAGTTGGGTCGCTTATTTGTGTTTAAGTAAAATTACATTTTTGGTAAAACTAAGAATATGTTTTCTACCTCCTCCATGTTCTAATAATAAGCCATCATGCATCCATGTCAAGCAAGGCCAAAGTAATGGCCCAATTCTAAAAAGATGACTCTCGTACAAATATTTAAATTTGACTTAAAAATGCAATATCAATTTTTTTGCCCCATCAATTTTACCACTCCACTTGTTTAATGCTGTGGCTGTTTCATTTCTAAATAACTTTTATTGTTTGTCTCTACTTCTGATGGCTCCCTTAGAAGAGGTTCCTGGAAGAGAAACTATCAGGCTGGAAGTTGATTTAAACTCCTGGTAAAAGAGACCAATATGAAAACAAGTCTGACTGTAAGTGAACAAGTGACACTAAGAAGGAATTAAATGTTGCTATAAATAATTCCCCAAAGAGATAGTAATAATAATGTATTATTAGGTCATAGTTTATGAATAATGATGACCAAGAGCAAATCTTTGTTTTAGACAACATTCAGGTCAAACAACTATGTTTGTGTGCAAACATGAAATACAAATAATAGACAATGAAAAGGAAAAGCAGAAGAGTTCACAATTTCTAAATAATGAAAAAGAAAGACACAATAATATTTTTCAATTGTAATAATCAGGTGTTCAGATTCCTGGGAAACTAACATAAATAAAGATCGACAAATCAGTTTTAAGGATAGATTAGATTGTCTAGTTCTGCAATTTAGCATTTGCACTGTACCTTCTCCATCTCTTTTCAGAAAGTACTTTAAGAAATGACTCATTCTGCAAAAGTTAGAGAACTTTATTACCAAGGGAGTCTCACAAAAGCCAAATTTTAAACTACTAAAAGTTAGGTCTCTTTTAGAACCTGTTGTTTTCAGAGTCCTTTACTCTACTGGGTACACAATAATCCTGTTTCATCAATATCAAGATATCCCACAATACCTACACCTTTTCGAAGAAAGTAGTCCTGGAGACTCAGATACACTGATTTTGAGAAGCTAATTAATGCATCTGACATCACAGGAGACCTCTCCTTCTTGTCACAGCCAAGTGAATTTCCTCTAGCATGACTATAAGCATTCTAGAGGATTGTACAAAATTGTGCAGGAAATTCAGCATTTGAGACATTCCCTTCAGTCCAAAGGGCCGTGGAACTCAGTGAAGGAAGCGGAGAAGGTTAGAGGATTCCACCGACATTAAAGATGCCAAGATGCCTACTTCTCAGAGTGCTACTCTTCCAGGCATCCGGGTGGACAGAAGCCAATCCTCTCTCTCTATATATATATACATATATATACATATATATATATATATATATATATATTACTTTTCACCAGTGAACTGGGAACATTCCCCGTTTGAGTGTGGCCCCAGAAGTTAATTTCCCACGGTTTTGCTGCCCCCCTGGCCCCCAACAAACACAATGAATGAAATATTTTCAAAGCAGACTTCTAGTAGGATACTCTGAACGCTGAAAACAAAGTTGGTGCCCAGTTCTACGAAATCCCAAAGTTGCTAGACCCGAGTCTGATCATTCCACTCCCAAGGACCCCTCTGGGAACAGAGTGGAGACTGCAGGGCTAGGTCTGGGTGAGCCTACAGATGGCTTTAATATCCAACAGCTGGGCTAGATCACAACCCCTCTGCTCCTTGCCTACTCCCCCCTCCCTATCCCAGAATCCGAGGTCCCCACGATTATTTCAACTCAAGGGACCCTCTAAATAACGGACTCCAACTCGAGCACATTCAGAGATTCTTCTCTTTTCACTACAGGTTCCACTGAAGGGAGTAGGCTCAGACCCTTCATCACCAAACCAAAGCTTGCAGACCAACTCCCCAAGGGTAGAGAAAGAAAGAAAACAAATGGCCCCCGGCGATTCGCAAGCCGAAGGCGGATTTTAAGGGGGGGAATAAGTGAGGAGAAAGACGGGGCCACCCAGCGTCCCGGGACGGAGAGCGCTCCGCGTCCCTCTCTCGGGGCTAACTTTTCTGCCTTCCAGGCTTGGGCCACTTAGCCACCCCCAGGTCCCAGGGCCGCGGGATGGAGCTAGGGGTCCCTGCACGCAGCATCTCGGCGTGGCTGCGCGGGTTCGGGCACCAGCCGTGGCCCCCCGTCACTCCGCCCCGGAGCCGGCGCAAACAATGCCACGCGCGCTTCCCGCGCCCGCGGCCCCCGGGCTGCCGCGCGGGGGGCCCCCGCCCCACTCACCGACACCAGGAACTCCAAGGTGCCCACGTAGTCGCGCTCGGTCTTCTGCAGCTCGCTGAGCACACACACGCGCAGGCGGAGCTGCTTCTCCACGTCCTTGGCGCTCTCGGCGCGGCCGTCCCCGCGGCTCTCCTCGCTCATGGTGACCGGCCGGCGCGGACCCCGGGACCCGCGGATCCCACCGGTGGTGGGAAAGGAAAGTTGCCGCCTTTGCAAAGTCGGGACCGACCGGCGACTTTTACATGCTGAAGAGAATCTGGGGCGGGGGTGGGAGGGAGAGGAGGGCGCCGGGGGGCGCTCGGGCTGCAACTCTGGCGCAGCAGGCGAGGCGCGGGGCGCAGCGCAGGACACTCCCCCGGGAGCGGCTCCCGCCCCGGCCTCACGCGGCCCGGGCCCGAGGGGAGGCGGCCTCTTCAGTCCCAGCGGGGACTTGGACATTAATCAAATGCTTTCTGTCCATGTGACTCCGACCCTTTACCCTTCGCCAGATCTCAGGAAAGAGGAAACACAACCCTGGGGGAAGTGTGTAGTGCCAGCTAGCTAAACACACACACACACACACACACACGCTCAGCACTCGGGGTTCCCAAACCTAGAAGGACAGACACACTCCCAGACAGCTCCAGGGCTGCTCCTGAGACTCCAGCCCATTGTAGCTTTTAATGTGTTTTGCACAAATCCTGGAAGCAAAGAAACTAGTCCCCACGGTTACATAACTGGACGGGAACAAAAACAACCATGGTTTTGACCCTCCCACCTTTTGAAAGAAACACATTGGGTTTGGGTTTTCTTCTTTGAGAAAACAGATTTTTTTTTAAAGCACACACACACACACACACACATTTCACCCCTCCACCCTTGTCTGTGTTTGAAAAGTCAATTAGCATAATAAATGATAGCATAGGAAAGGGATAGCCCTTGCTCATACAATAAAATACAGATGAATAAGTATCCACAACCGAGTTGTGCTGTTTAGACAACTCTGTAGGTCCAGAAATTTTTCTACATCCACATAGTACACAGAATCCAGACAAGGGTACTGTTCCCATTTTGTCACTAAGAAATGCTGTGATTTGAAAAGGCAAAGCTGTAATACTGAGAGACACAGAGAGGATAGAGGATACATAGATGACAGGTAGGTAGGTAGATGGTAGATAGATAGATAGATAGATAGATAGATAGATAGATAGATAGATAGATAGATAGATAGATAGATAGATAGATAACCTTAGATTGGGGATATGGAAAATGATGGAGCATTCTTGATCTTAATCTTTATATTTACTGTCTTTTCTCACCTGGAAAGGGAGCCCAAACCTAACAAATACCAAAAAATTTAACACTCAGTCCATATACAGTTTTAGCTAGCTATTATGCATGACTTTTTTTCTCTATGGGACAATTTCACATAGTCCACAAAGTAGTATGTTAACTTGTTCCCAACTCTAAAGCATCAGCCAAAGTAAATTATGAAGATGCTCACCTAAGTATTTACTGTGAAATAATTACGAGGTTTGCAGCTGATGTATTTTCCAGTGAGAGGAAAAAGAGTTAGACTTTCTGTCTTACACTACAGATTTGTGTGTAGAGCTGTTGGCTTAGAAGCACTTCTCCCTCTTGCTTTTGCATATAGCTATTTGAACACAGATGGCTTCACACCCAGTAGCAGAAGAACAAAGGGCAGCACACATGAAAGCACAGACACCCACCCCCCAGCACCTGATAAACAATAAACAAAAGAAGTGGAAGACACAGGAAGCATGCATCCAGCAGTGAATGGGAAACTCAAACATGACTAGAACTTCTCAGTGGACCCAGGCATCAATGAACGTATTTCTTCGTCCCAGCAGCTGCCTGCTCCTCGATGAAAAAGCTAAGTTAATTAAATGGCTTTCCACAGATGTTCTAGAAAAAAATTTTCCTCTAAAACACAATGACTCACATAATTTCCTTTTATCCCAACATTATAAGTCACCAGAACTGACATCTCACCTCCAAGCAGTAATGTAGTCAAGTCTGAATCACTGTAACCTAAATCCCAGGCCCAAAGGCCAGAGGTAAGCAGAAGTAATGGTGAAAAGGTAGTATTTTCATCAACACAGCTATGTTGGGGAGATGAACAAGATTAGGAATCTCAGCCCACCTACAGGGTACTCACCATGAGCTTTATTTACTAGAGGAGAATTGGGGTAGGAGGCAGAGGTATGCATGAATAATCAGTCAAAGTGAGGCCTCTTGACCTTAACCTCAGTTCTAGTTCTGTACAGAGGTCCCAGGCCCTTATCACTTGAGGAGACAGATGATCCAGTTCCATTGAGATGATGGCTCCTACTTGGGGTGATCTCACCATGAGCTGATCTCTCTGCAAAGCTTTGCAGGACCTGGAATCCATGGTGACTGAAAGTTTAGGACAATGATTAGAGTCTTTCAGGTCCTTTGCCGGGGAGAAGGTATCTGGAACAGAATATTGTAAAGGCTGACAGTGTGATTTTTTAGTTACTCATCTCTGAACCTTCATCCTTGAGGATGAATGAGATAGTTGCATAGCACCAGTTTTTAGACAGTATTTGAGTAACTACAGAGCTAAGGAGGAATCTGACCCCAAAGTGCTTTTGTATGCCAATATTGGTGAATTTTACTGGAAGATATTTTATCAATCAACTTCTACTGATGCAATTTAATTTCTCAATTATTACACAGACTATAATATATTTCAGTACATTTTAAGAGCAGGAAAACTGCACTTCTGTCCTCTCTGGGTTGTGACTAAGACTGAGAATTATATTGACACAAGATAGATAACAGGAGAAAAAAATACAACTTTTAAAATATAAGTTTTTGGGGGCTGGGAAGGTGGCTCAGTGGTAGAACACTTGACTTGCATGCCTGAGGCCCTGGGTTCGATTCCTCAGCACCACATAAGCAAAAAGAAAAAAGCCAGAAGCGGCGCTGTGGCTCAAGAGGTAGAGCACTAGCCTTGAGCTGAAGAGCTGAGGGACAGTGCCTAGACCCAGAGTTTAGGCCCCACGACCGGACCTAAAAAAATATATATATATATATATATATATATATATATAAGTTTTTGTTTGTGCTTTGGTTTGTTGTGTGTGTGTGTGTATGTGTGTGTGTGTGTGTGTGTGTGTGTGTGTGCCAGTATTGGGGCTTGAACTCCAGGCCATTGTACCCACACATGGCCTTTTCCCTCAAGGATATCATTCTACCACTTGAGCCACAGCTCTACTTCTAGAGTTTCGTTGCTTAACTGGAGACAGAGTCTCAAAGATTTTTTTGTTCTATATGGGCTGGCTTTGAACCAAGATTTTCAGATAGCCTCCTAAGTAGCTAAGATTACAGGTCTGTGACACTGGCACCCAGCTTAATGTGTTATGATGGTTGTTGTTGTTGTTGCTTTTTGTAATATGTATCCCAAAGTTGTAAGACAGATGCAAAATCAAGGTAGGAATGTTGAATTTTATTCTACTTCTAGTTACCTTGTGGGCCCATCACAAGAGGAGACAGCCTCCCAGTTTCTATTAAAAAAAGCACACATGAAAAGCATTTCAAGAGGTCTCACAGCAAAGAGAGTCCCGTAAGTAGAAGTTCAGCCATGTTTTAATTTAGCAGAACAGGAAAAAAGTAGGAAGAAAAGAGAGGAGAGAAAAAAAATACCTCCTGAGAAGAATAGGGGTGAGAGTCTATCTGAAAAATGGCAGCCATTTTTGGATTCTCTGCTCTGAGCTAGTGAGATATGCATTATTGTGTTGACATCTAGTAACCCCTAGGTGACATCCAAGGATTCCTCATTCCATCTTACCTCAGGCTCAAATGGGGGATCACTGTGATTGAGTACCTGTCGTATCATCCATTGGATCTCACCAATCTGAAGCATTGTTTTTGCTACACAAATATCCATGAGGAACCTCCATGAACACTGCTTAGTGTTAGGACCTAACCACCTTGGAGACTCTAATCTCTGCACAAATTCTTCTCAAGCTGAGTTACAGAGCATTGCACTACAGTCACTTGAGCTTTTGTTAAAATGAATATTCCTAGGATCACCTCAAATTTATTACGTATATCAGACATCATTATATTCTTTCAACAAGGTCCTGAGGTTATTCTTAGAGTCACTAACGTTGGAGAACCACCATCTAAAATCTTAGCATTGAATAGGGGAGATCACAAGTATAAGTAGCTTTTTAAACAGCCATACTGCAGTCAGATGCCAGTGGCTCACTTCTGTAAATACTGAACCTAGTCAGAAGGCTAACATCTGAGGATTACAGTTCAAAGCCAGCCCAGGCAGGAAACTCTGTGAGGCTTTTATCTCCAAGTTATCACCCAAAAGCCAGAAGTGGAGCTGTGGCTCAAATGGCAGAGTGGTAGCATTGAACAAAAAGTTAAGGGAAGTTCAATCCCACCACTGGCATAGAAATAAAAATAAAAACAAAGAAAAAAATATGTCATGGTACAATTAATGCTTCACAAATAAATTAATAAAAGATCAATAAATGAAAAATAAATTATGTAAGCTAGGTGGAAAGATATTTTAATGGTACAGATTCAGATTTCCCTCAGCAAGGCCTGTGTTGAAACTATTTTTGTATTTCTGAAACTATATTTGTATTTCTGTCCACTCTTCTGCTTCAGTATCATTGGTAATTAATGAACAACTCCAGGACACCATGTAGTACCTTCTGCCAACCGCCTCTCAGAGTCCTCTGTAGCCCTGGCTGGAGTCCTTAATTCCTCATCAAAGACAGAAGAGCATAAGAAAACAGGACTGAAGTATCTGGAAACTTTCACTTTGATGGTAAATAAGGTCTTTCATAACCTCTGAATGTGTCGTATCCCTTCCCACTTCCTCTATTGAAACTCTAGGCCCAGTCTGCCAGGAAAAGGAAAGCACCAACCAAGAGGATAGACAACATCCAGTTTGTTGTTGTTGTTTTTTCCTTGAAATACTAATGAGGTTGACAACTCCAATACAGAAAAGAAGATAGAGAAAAAGTGGCTGAGTAATAAACTAGTTCAGCCATTAAAATTATTTCGTATGCATAAATGTGGTGTGGTTAGAATCCATTATCGGAAGGTTCAAAGAGCCCAAGTACAGAGCACAGTGGGTTTCCTTTGGTCAAACTCAGGGAAGGACAGCTCTGGACTAAACCGCAGGAAAAT